GTGGAACGTCTTCAGCCAGCCAATGAACCTCCCCTCCAAACCGTACCAGTCCAGGAGATGCCAGAGGTACTCATGATTGACTCTATCAAAGGCCTTTGCCTGGTCCACCACCAGCAAGAACTTCCCCCATCCTTCAGCCTTACACCGCTCCAGGGCCTCCCGGACAGCTAACATTACTGTGAAGGTACTCCTGCCCTGGACCGAGCAATGCTGCTGACGAGAAAGCAAACTGTCTGCCACTGACGACAAGCGCCAGAACAAGATCTTTGCCAGAACCTTTCTATCGACATTGAGGAGCCTTATGGGGCGCCAGTTCTCAATAGCCGAAAGATCCTTACCCTTTGACAAGAGAATTACTGCAGACTGCCTCATGGAAGGAGGGAGGGATCCCTCATCCAGACAGCAATTGTAAATCTCCGTGAGGCAAGGTGCCAGGCAGGACTTAAAGGTTTTGAAAAATTCAGCTGTCAAACCGTCCGGCCCAGGGGTCTTCTTAATGGCCAGACTATCAATGGCCCTAGGCACCTCCTCTGCAGTAATTTCCCCAGTCAAATCAGCCGGTGGGATATTACTTTCCAGATCTGGCATAGACTCCAAAAAGCTCAGCATCCTTGTTCGCTTCTCACCCAGTAAGTCCGCATAGAAAGACCTGGAGACCTCCAGAATTCCTGACCTGGATCTTGTCATGGACCCCTTACTATCTCTCAGAGCAGAGACCGTCTTAATCGCTGCACTCTGTTTGCAGTTCTGGAAAGGGTCAGGCGAGTGGTATTTCCCACAATCCCTCTCCAGAACCAAAGAGGATCATACTGGTACTTCCTGAGAAGAAGCTTCACCTCCGAGATTGCCCCCGAATCTCCACCGCTAGAAACAAGGCGGTCGAGCTTTCTCCACAACCATTGGTAGGCGATATACTGATTAAACTGCCTTCTCTTACCTACGGCCTTGAAAAACTGCTGATCCGCACTTTAGTAAGCTCCCACCACTCCGACTTACTGCCGCAGAAATCCAGCACCATCTCCTGAGCCTGAAAGAACTCCTCAAAAGATCGTCTCACCTCCTCATCCTCCAGCAGAGACAAATTCATTCTCCAGATGCCCTTCCCTCTCAGCGGCGTGTCTGAAACATACAAGTCACAGATAGCATAAGGTGATCGGAAAACTCCACCGCCCGACACACCAGTGCCGAGAAGGCAGAGTTCTCCTTCAAAAAAAACCTGTCTATCCTACTCTGACTATTACCTCTCCTAAACGTGAAACCAGTGCTGTCTGTGCTGCTCTTAACCAAGGCGTCTACCAGACCTGCTTCTCTGACTATAGCATTTAGAAAAACGCTATCATATCCCAGCCTGTCATTGAAACCCCTCCTGTCCTTGGGCCTAGTGATAGTATTAAAATCTCCTCCAAAGACCACCAGCCGAGACGTAAAAAGGAATGGTTTGATCCTTGTGAAGAGGCACTTCCTGTCCCACTTGGACTGCGGCCCGTAAATGTTTATCAGCCACAACTCCTGCCCCCCCACAAAGACATCCAGGATCAGACATCTTCCAATCTCTACCTCAATTACCCGCCGGCACGTTACCATGCCGGTAAAAAGCACCGCAACTCAAGGCTCAGCCACAAGAGACCAGTAGGAGGGCCCTCGCCTCCACTCACGCTTAGCCAGATGTATATCGGCCAAGCTGGACAACCTGGTCTCCTGCAAAAAGAAAACATCAGCTTCCATCCCGCTGAGCAAAAATAAGGCTGTTTCTTTTGCTCTTACAGACCGTAGGCTGGCAACGTTAACAGTTGCCACCTTTATCGGAGCGGGAACTGCCATTAAAGTAGTTGAGAGGGACGTTCCTTAACCCTCCTCTTGACTTTCTTGGCAGGGTCCCTCAATCTCTTAAGAGACCCCCCAGCATCCTCGTCCTCCATCAGGGAAGCAGGATCACCTGACTCCCTCCTCCTCTCCCGACAAAGCCCCAAACCTATTCCCCAGGGCCACATCCCCCACCTCTAAAGAGGACAAAACTGGCTAATTCCGCCTACCCACCAGGGACCACCCCTCCTCCACCTGAGCCCATACTGGAGCAGAACCTTGGGACTCCCTACCGGGCTTCCCATTCCGCCGCAGCGGCAAGAGCACGGGGGGAGCAGACACTGAGGGACTAGACCTAGCCTCAACCATCCCGGCCCCTTTAGCAGCCTCCCTCAGCTGTTTCTTACTCCTGGGAGGAGGAACTGACACACAAGGGGGAACAACAGGAGACTTCAAAGGGGTAGACAAAACAGGGGGGACAGAGACAGGAGGAGCCTCAGAAACTCCCCTTCCCCCACAAGTGCCGCCACAGCAGCCGAAGCCGCCCTCTCCAATGCCGCCTCCACCTCTTCAGCATCTATCCGATTCAACTCTGCTTCAAGCTCCCCCACCAGAAGGTTGTGGAGGGCCTCCGGGCAATGGTTGTACAAATCTGATTGCATCAGATGACATTGCAGTCCCTGGCCAGGTGTTCTATTTTCTGACACAGGGAACATCTAATGACGGGGCAGGTGGCCGCAAAATGCCCCTTGCCCCCACACCGGTGGCAGACCCTCGGATAACCCACATAAAAAATTATGAGGCGGTCCTTTCCTATAAAATCAGAAGAGGGAATGTGCTGGAGCACATTTCCAACCACCTTTAAGTGGATGGTGGTCATCCACCCACCTGTCCATATTCCCCTCTCATCATTAATCTTCCCAAGGGGCCCCATCACATCCCCATATCTACTTAGCCAGACCACAATATCTGATGCTGGGATGGATTCATTTCTCACCAGCACCGTTATTTTTTTAATCAGGGACTGGCAAGAGACGAGCCTCGGGGTAAGGCCCACCCACCTAGGGCTGGTGACAAAGGTGGCCTCATACCTCTGCCAAAAGAGGTCCAACAATTCCGGCCGCATAAAGGACACGTCATATTCTCCAGTACCAACTGGAGCAATGAATGCGAAAATACCCGTGGCACGGAAGCCCATCTCTAGTATCCGGTCTATGACCTCTCTCCTGCTAAGGGGGGGACCCTCCCCTGACCACTTGAGCTGAACAACATTTTGCCTCGCGGCGGAAGTGGATAGATTACCTGCCCTTGCCCGGGCTGATCCCACTGACCCCTGACCTCCCCTAACAGCAGCGGAGTAACTGAGCCCCGATCTAGCCCCAGGGGCACTCACCACCGAGGGTGGATGACCAGGGGAAGCCACCCCACCAGCAGCAGCAACTGAAGGGGCAGATGCAGATGAGCCAGGACCTGGGGGAGCCCAGAGCTGGGAACTACCCACACCAGCAGGAGAACCCACCTGAGCCTGACCCACAGGAGCCTGGACCTGAGAACCTGGAGCCCCCTGAGGAGAAACCGGGGGACCTGCTGGTTGCACACCAGAGGCGACCATGCCCCTCCGAAGGGACCACTACCGGAGGAGAGAAACACCCTTAGTCAGGACTGTAGGGCGAACCTGCACCTCAGACAAATTTGCAGGCATTATATCCGCTACCCCAGTGTCCACAACCATCTCACCAACACACTCAGCAGAGTCCTTCTGCTTCTGTACAGACAGCGGCTCCCCTGCCTTTGCCAGCACATCCTTGGGGATGTGCTGCAGCATGACAAAGGTGGCACGCTCTTTCACCACCGGCTTAGCTGGCTTGCGGGGGGTGACATCACTTCTTCCTCCGAGTCTTCGGACTTAAACCAGAAGTCGGCTCCACTCAGTCCTGGCACCGCCTCTGCCACGAACCGCAAACCGCCCGCCAACTCCACCTCCTCCACCGGGGTCCCCCAATCCACAGGCTGCTGCCCAGGGGGGAGGGACTCTGACGATCCCACGACCACGCTGTCTTCCATTTTAGGCACCATTTTCTCTGAGGATGCTGCGGGCTCAGCCTGCCCCTGCTCCTGCTCGCCTTCCACCAGCAACTCCCCCCCGACAATTCCTCCACCGAGGAGGCCTCCTCCACCGGACCCCACATAGCTGCAACACTGCGGCTTCTTGCAGCCTGTCAAGGTCCTACCTTTCCCCAGAGGTTATGCTGCTCCATGTGCTGGTATCCATCTTAGGTTTCTGCAAAGCATGGTGGGAGCCTTTAATGCTTTCAGGCCTCTGCGGTCCACCCCCCAGAGGGGTGTGGTTGATCACATTTAAGCCTGTTGTCTGCAGTTGCTCTTTGAATTTGTGTCCTGTATGACTGTTTTGCAGCTGTCAGGGCAGGAACGCTGGAATGGGCAGGCAGGCCTATGGTACGGTCACGCTGCGACTGACGACAGCCACTACCCACAGACCAGAGTCCCTCAGGGCGCGGAGTCTAAGTCCCAGGCTACCCTTCACCAGGGCCCCTGATGGTGGGGATGGACTTGAAGCAGCCTGAGACAAGGTCGCGGACCCCGAGTGACCCCAGCTGCGATAACGACTGCCGCCAATGGCGTACAGCTGGTGGGAGCTAGATGGGAACACGAGTAGAGTAGTCAGACAGGCCGGGTCAATAACAACGGAGCAGACAGTACTAGACGGTAGGCAAAGAATACTCAGGTCACGGGCCGGGTTCAGCAACGGGAGGTCAGGTAAAGGGTTAAACGCAGAGAGTAGTCTTGTCCAAGCCGAGTCGGTTACCAGGAGAGCAATGGGAACAACACAAGAGCTTGCAACAGGGCAACATACAGGACACAAGTGCAGAGCACACTTGCAGACAGCAGGTTTAAATGTGCTCAACCACACCCTTCTGAGGAGGAGCCGCAGAAGCCTGAAGGCATGCTTTGCAGAAATCCAAGATGGATGCCAGCTCATGGAGATGCACAAGCTCTGAAGAAAGGTAGGACCTTGACAGCAGCAAGCTCTAGTTCTACTCTTGTGGCTCTCCTGGAAACCGACTCGGCTTTGACTAAGACTATTCTCATCCTTATCCCTTTATCTGACCTCCTGTTGCTGAATCCGGCTTGTGACCTGTGTATTCTTGCCTACCGTCCTGTACTGTCTGTCCCACTGTTATCGACCCGGCCTGTCCGACTACGCTATCGTTTCCCATCTGGTTCCCACCAGCTATACGCCATTGGCAGCGGCCATTACTGCAGCTGGGGTTACTCAGGGGCCGCGACCTGGTCCCTGGCTACGTCAAGTCCATCCCCACCATCAGGGGCCCTGGTGAAAGGCAGCCTGGGGCTTAGACTCCGCGCCCTGAGGGCCTCCGGTCTGTGGGTGGTGGTTGTCGTCAGTCGGTGCGTGACCCTACCATTAGGCCTGCCTGTCCATTCCACCGCTCCTGCCCTGACACAGCCTTAAATCTTGCTTCATTCAAATACTTTTCACTTAGGACACCGCTCTTGCGCTGCAGCACCACCACATACCTCCCCTGCTGGGACACACATAGTTCCAGCGCCTGCAGGCCCGGTTTCATGGCCTGCCGCTTTGTAGACCATACACGGTCATAGGATGACCGGAGCTTCTTTAGCCCCAGAGTCAGCTTCTGGAGCTTTGCTTCCACCTTCTCTACTAACTTGGCCCGAGTGGCTACACGGTCCCGGTAGGCAGAGTAAGCTTCCCCCTTCCTAGGGGCCGTTCCCAGGTTCTCTACCGGTGGAAAAGAGAGGCCGGTACTAGGCCCCCCCAGGGCCTTCCCCTCGCTGGACCCAGGCCCAGGATCCGCCATCCTGCCTGGGCTGGGCAGGGCACTTTAGCCCCAGGCTTCTCGGGCATTCCTGAGGCTTAGCAGAGCACAGTCCAGCACAACCTCTTCACAAGGACTCACCCCTGGTGGTGCTGGGCTCACCTTCCGTGTGGGCTGCAGTACCGGTGCCTGCCAGCGGGTGCTTTCAGCAGCCAGGATCTCACTCCTGCAATCAAGCCATCACCGGAGACTGATTGCAGGAGGTGTATTTAAGCAGGACCAGGCCTGCAATCAGCGCCTTGGTGTTGTTTCCCATGAGCCCCTGTACCTGGTCCGGTCGGCTGCCTGCCTCTTTCCTCTGCTTGACTCTGAAACTGATTGAACTCCGCCTGCACCGACCCCGGCTATTCCTGACCTTTCTCCTGCCTGCTCCGTTTGTACCTTGTCTGCCCGACTGTTCCTGACCCGGCCTGCCTGACCAATCTACCTCTCCAACCTGACTACGCCTGTCTTGTTCCTGAACATACTGACATTCGTTGGAGGTTTGGCTTTGTTTGTACTGTGCGTTGTATACTCGTGTAGTTCCTAATAAATTATATTCTTATTACATCACTCCTGAAGCCTGCCATTCCCTGTGTCAGTCCACACACCTCTGGTCATGCTTGGATCCCTGACATAACACCAAGGCCAATCCTGACCAGAAGTGGCTGCACAGGGAAGCCATCTTGGCTTGTTGTTGGGGAAGGATGCATGCATTTTGTACTTGTCTCTGCTAGCAATAGAGGACAGAGAGTACTGCTATCAGATTCTGAAGGAGTGGGCCAGGGAAAAGCTGCTAGAGTGTATACAGGTTGCTCATTTGCTAGTAGATCAGGGCACGGTGTTTTCTGAGGTCCAGCTATTGATCCAGGCTTGTGCTGAGTGGCTCTGTCCAGTACCCCTGAAAGCAGGGATGACTTTTCTCTGCCATTTAGTGCAGATCAAGTAGAGTCACTTGGTTGTTGGAGGATGATCCAGATTGCTTCTTTGAGCATTATTCAGCTTGTCCATCACATGTGCTTGTGGATTGTATATATGCAGTGCAGTCTTTGGTCAGCCAGGCTATGTGTAAGCTAAGCTTCGTTCAACCGGTACTACAAACATGGTCAGATTTGTTACATCTAGCCTCAGTCAGCTTGCAAAAACCCTGTCCTGCTTCAAATCCATTTTGTCAAAGCTATATTCCTGCATTCCCAACAGCACCCCCAGTTCCAGCCCAGTATACCCTGCTATCAACCACATGTCAGTACCCTGTTCCAACTCGCTGCACCTATACTGCCTTTAACCCTGTAAAGAAGCCCTCTGTAGCAACTGCTCCCTCCTCTGTTCCATCCTCCAGCTCTTCTCTGTCTTCAGCTGCTCCCTCCGTTTACAGACCTGCATCTACTTGCAGTGCTTCAGTAACTAAACCCAAGAAGAAGCGAAAGTTCTTTCCAAGCAGTACCATCCTGCCGTCTGAGAACCCGCCTTCTGTTATCCCGCCTGATGCCCTGATGCCTGATGACCCAGTGTCCGCTACCCAGCCTGATGGTCCTACCCAGCCTGATGACCCTACCCAGCCTGATGACCCTATCCAGCCTGATGACCCTACTTAGCCTGATGATCCTATCCTGTCTGATGATCTGGTGCCAGTTACCCAGCTTGATGATCCTATCCGGCCTGATGACCTGATGCCCGCTATCCAGCCTGACGACCCAGTGTCCGCTATCCAGCCTGACGCCCCAGTGTACGTTGTCCAGCCTGACTTCCCGGTGCCCGCTGTCCTGCCAGACTTCCCGGTGCCCGCTGTCCTGTCCTGCCAGACGACCTGATGCCCGCTGTCGAGCCAGATGACCTGATGCCTGATGACCTGGTGCCCGCTGTCCTGCCAGATGACCCGGCGCCCGCTGTCCTGCCAGATGACCCAGTGCCCGCTGTCCTGCCAGACGACGTGGTGCCCACTGTCCTGCCAGATGACCTGGTTCCCACTGTCCTGTCAGATGACCCGATGCCAGATTACCCAGTGCCCGCTGTCCTGCAAGATGACCAGGTGCCCGCTGTCCTGCCAGATGACCCGATGCCCACTGTCGAGCCAGGTGACCCGATGCCCGCTGTCCTGCAAGATGACTCGATGCCTGATGACCCGGTGTCCGCTGTCCTGCCAGATGACCCGATGCCAGATTACCCAGTGCCCGCTGTCCTGCAAGATGACCAGGTACCTGCTGTCCTGCCAGATGACCCGATGCCAGATTACCCGGTGCCCGCTGTCCTGCAAGATGACCAGGTTCCCGCTGTCCTGCCAGATGACCCGGTACCCAATGACCCGGTGCCTGCTGTCCTGCCAGATGACCCGGTGCCCGCTGTCCTGCAAGATGACCCAGTGCCCGGTGTCGAGCCAGATGACCTGATGCCTGCAGTCCTGCCAGATGACCCGATGCCCGCTGTCCTGCCAGATGACCCGATGCCCGCTGTCCTGCCAGATGACCCGATGCCTGATGACTCGGTGCCCGCTGTCCTGCCAGATGACCCGATGCCAGATTACCCAGTGCCCGCTGTCCTGCAAGATGACCAGGTGCCCGCTGTCCTGCCAGATGACCCGATGCCCACTGTCGGGCCATGTGACCCGATGCCCGCTGTCGAGCCAGATGACCCGATGCCTTATGACCCGGTGCAAGATGTCTTGCCAGATGACTCAGTGCCCGCTGTCCTATCCTGTCCTGCCAGATGACCCGATGCCAGATGACCCGGTGCCCGCTGTCCTGCCAGATGACCCGGTGCCCGCTGTCCTGCCAGATGACCCGGTGCCTGCTGTCCTGCCAGATGACCCAGTGCCGCTGTCGAGCCAGATGACCCGATGCCTGATGACCCGGTGTCAGCTGTCCTGCCAGATGACCCGGTGCCCGCTGTCCTGCCAGATGACCCGATGCCAGATGGCCCGGTGCCTGCTGTCCTGCCAGATGACCCGGTGCCTGCTGTCCTGCAAGATGACCCGGTGCCAGATGACCCAATGCCCGCTGTCGAGCCAGATGACCGATGCCAGATGACCCAGTGCCCGCTGTCCTGCCAGATGATTCGGTGCCAAATGACCCAGTGCCCGCTGTCCTGCCAGATGACCCGATGCCCGCTGTCGAGCCAGATGACCAATGCCTGATGACCCGCTGTCGAGCCAGATGACCCGATGCCTGATGACCCGGTGCCCGCTGTCCTGCCAGATGACCTGGTGCCTGTTGTCCTGCCAGATGACCCGGTGCCAGATGACCCGGTGCCCGCTGTCCTGCCAGATGACCCGATGCCTGCTGTCGAGCCAGATGACCGATGCCAGATGACCTGGTGCCCGCTGTGCTGCTAGATGACCCGTGCCAGATGACCCGGTGCCCGCTGTCCTGCCAGATGACCCGATGCCTGCTGTCGAGCCAGATGACTGATGCCAGATGACCCGGTGCCCGCTGTCCTGCCAGATGACCCAGTGCCAGATGACCCGGTGCCCGCTGTCCTGCCAGATGACCCGATTCCCGCTGTCGAGCCAGATGACCGATGCCTGATGACCCGCTGTCGAGCCAGATGACCAGATGCCTGATGACCCGGTGCCCGCTGTCCTGCCAGATGACCCGATGCCTGCTGTCGAGCCAGATGACTGATGCCAGATGACCCGGTGCCCGCTGTCCTGCCAGATGACCCAGTGCCAGATGACCCAGTGCCCGCTGTCCTGCCAGATGACCCGATTCCCGCTGTCGAGCCAGATGACCGATGCCTGATGACCCGCTGTCGAGCCAGATGACCCGATGCCTGATGACCCGGTGCCCGCTGTCCTGCCAGATGACCTGGTGCCTGTTGTCCTGCCAGATGACCTGGTGCCCGATGACCCGGTGCCCGCTGTCTGCCAGATGACCTGGTGCCCGATGACCAGATGCCCGCTGTCCTGCCAGATGACCCGATGCCTGATGACCCGATGCCTGATGACTCGGTGCCCACTGTCCTGCCAGATGACCCGATGCCAGATTACCCAGTGCCCGCTGTCCTGCAAGATGACCAGGTGCCCGCTGTCCTGCCAGATGACCCGATGCCCACTGTCAGGCCAGGTGACCCGATGCCTGCTGTCGAGCCAGATGACCCGATGCCTGATGAACCGGTGCCTGCTGTCCTGCCAGACACCGGGTCATCTGGCAGGACAACAGGCACCTGGCAGGACAGAGGGCACCTGGTCATCTAGCATCGGGTCATCTGGCAGGACAGTGGGCACCGGGTCATCAGGCATCGGGTCATCAGGCATCGGGTCATCTGGCAGATGACCCGATGCCTGATGACCCGGTGCCCGCTGTCCTGCCAGATGACCTTGTGCCTGTTGTCCTGCCAGATGACCCGATGCCAGATGACCCGATGCCTGATGACCCGGTGCCCACTGTCCTGCCAGATGACCCGATGCCAGATGACCAGGTGCCCTCTGTCCTGCCAGGTGCCTGTTGTCCTGCCAGATGACCCGGTGCCAGATGACCTGGTGCCCGTTGTCCTGCCAGATGACCCGATTCCCGCTGTCGAGCCAG